GATCGAAATCGTTTAGATGTTGTTAGAATTCTTGTCAAAAAAAGTGAAGTGACATTGTACATGCCCCATGCGCTTAGTAATAGTTTGAATATTATTTTGTACTTGTTTTAAATCCCGATGAGTCTTTAGCAGTATTGTATCATAAATATGTAAAGCTTTACAATAAATTTCCAAAGCTAACTTATTATTTCCGACTCTTTCATATAAACAGGCTAAATTATAATAAGTTTGTCCTATTTGCATATGATATTCTGGTAATGTTTGAATTTGTATTTCTAATGCTTGTTTATACATAATCAACGCTTGATTATATTCACCTTTTTCATTATGTACAATACCGATATTCATCAATGTTAATCCTATTTGATAATGATTCTTAGGTAATAGTTTCATTTGAAGTATTAATGATGCATTTAATGTATTTAGTGCTAAACCATACTTTTTTCGTTTGCGATAAAGTTCACCAAGATTATTATAAATATTTGCTACATGTAAATCATCATTATGAAAATAATAATGATCAAATTTTTTTTCATGTTCAGCATCAAGTGCTCGTTCATAATTTTCTAATGCCTTAGAATAATTTCCTGTATCTTGATAAACATTACCAATTCCTGTATAAGTAGTACCAATAGAACAATAATCGGTAACTCTTTGTGTATACTTTAATTTCAGTTCTAATGCTTGTTGAAAAAATTTTAGTGCTTGATCTGAATTACTTCTATAGGTCATCCACCTTGAACATCTATTACAAAATGGCTCCCCTTTTAAGTTTTTTCTCTTGCTTGTCCAAATTTGTCCAGGTTTAGCTACGTCGTTCCGCTGTAAACATGGGCATTTTAAATGGATCAATCTTTATTACGTAAAACATTACCTAATCCGTGATAGCATCCGGGAATTAATGGATTATTGTTATCTTTTAATGTACTTAATAATTTTTGATAGTATTTTTCAGCTTTATCTAATTCACCCATTCGAAATAAAGTATTACCTGGTTCAAGTAGATTTATATTTTTGTCTACTTGTTCTTTCATTGATTCATAAACATCTTTCAATTGATAATCTTGTTCACTACATAATTCTAATTTTATTATCCAAACTTGTTCTTTTGAATCATGATCAACATATTTTAATTTAAATAATGATCCTATCATAAATAAGACTTCATTTTCACCTTTAACTAGACCTGTTGGGATCGCATTTTCCAGCAGAAAAGACCTTTTATGGGTATATGCACCATCTATAGTGAAACATTTTCACGAGCTAATACCGTCAGATTAGATTCTATATGTGCAGAAGTACCAAATTTCAGAGAGGAGTGTTTTTCCTGCAAAAATACCACAGGATTTCGTCTGTTTCAAAAGTGCTTGGCCAAAGGTGAAAGCCTGTTTCTGTAATAGCTCATGTCGAGTACATGCGCGATATATGTTATTCCACGTCCTGGAATCCCGTGTTATGGTGCAGTATGCAGTCTAACTTTGGAAAACCGCCTTCAAAAGTTGTTTTTTACTATCCTTAAACATTTTGTGATCTCAATGCGGACCAGTTCATCGGATAGAGCTTGAAAAGACGCGTCGAATGCATATATTTTTGTCTTTTGTGGATATGATTTTATGGGGGAAATATGGTTTACAAAACAGGGCTATTTTTGGGAAATAACAACTGTTTTAAAAATTTCCCTGAGAACGTACTTAACTTTTTGGAACTTTTTACCCGTGAGTGATTTGGTACCTCTGTACATTTAGAAACTAATCTGACGGTATTAGCTCGTGGAAATGTTTCACTAAAAGATGGTGAATATACCCATAAAAGGTCTTTTCTGCTGGAAAATGCGATCCCATCAGGTCTAGATGACCATCGCGCCGTTATTTTAGAATCTTTTAAACGCGATATTCGTCATCAGGCGCCCAAGTTGTACTAATCCTGTTACTCTCGAACAATTCGGATAAAGTTGATGTAATTGTGGTACACTCTCGAAAGAACCCAAGCGTAAAAAAAAAATCTAGTGTCGCCCGATTCATCTAGACCACTAGATTTTTATTCGATTGCAACTAGTGTGTAACGACAGTGGAAATCTAGTAATTGGGCGATTACTAGATTTTTTCTAGTTGCAACTATCGATTTATCGTCCGATAATCGATCGATTTAACTATTACTAGATGCACCTGCAGACGCATCTAGTTAAAAGTCCCTTTTCCAACTAGTAATCTAGATGGCAACT